GCAGAAGCCCAAGGGCATAGCCACTCTGTGTGACCTGGCTGGGCCTCACCTGATGGCCATGAGTGCTTGAGCAGCCTTGCTGCGGATGTTTTTGTTGGAACTGAGAAGTTTCTGCTTGAAGAAAGGCACAGCACAGCTGCTCAGAGCCTCAGTGGCATCCTCCTGCAGGCAGGAGGCCAGCGTGTCCAAGATGAGCTCCTGGATTTTCTCCTCCTCCCTCTGCAGCTTCAATACCAGTGGGGAGATCAAGCCGTTATCGACAATGCCACGGGCCCCTGCAGAACAGAAAAGGATACTGGGGGACAGCCTCCCGTGCAGACTGGCTTGCACAGGTAGAGTGGAAGCTTTGATAGAAGGACCTGGCATGGAGCTTGAGTAGCCATTAGGAGGCTGAGGGTGCAGCCATGGCAGAAGCTGGGGTGAGGCTGAGATAAGGTCCCAGAGGTCACAAAAGGTGCTAGCCTTTTGGTCACTTGGGCCTCAGGAACATCAGACATAAACAAGTACACAGAAGCCTGAGAGGTAGCAGTTATCCCTGGGAGAGCAAAGACTCCCCCTCAAATGGGCCCCACCTCACTCCTTCCAGCTCTCCTTCCCTCCTGGGCAAGGATATTTCCACCTGTAGCTATCTGGAATAGAACACAGAACCCCAGCACCAACGGTATCCCAAGGGGCCCAGGCTCTCAAAGCAGCCCTCTCAAGTCCTTGAGATGTGGAAAGAGCAAAGGCGAGCACTTCCCCATGCACTCAAACCACCCATCACTACTGCCTTGTATCTGGCCCTCTCCCCATCCTCCCCAGCAGCCATGCTACCCACTGAGAAACTGTCTATAGTCCCTAGGGAGATGGCCACCAGCAAACACCTCTTTCTTCTGCCCTCCCTAGTTAAACCTTCTAATTTACTCTAGAGAGACAAATAAACAGGTCAATTAGCCAAAAGGTCTCTGAGTACCAATTAGCACCAGGGATTTCCTCTTTGAAGACATCATCCCAGTCTTCTTGTCTCACTCCCTAAGGACATCAAATGGCAGATGCCCCAGGTAAGGGCAAGTAGAAAGACAAGCATATTTAGAAGCTCTTACTGTCTCCTCTGCACGTTCCCTGCTGTCCAGCAGCTCCCAGTACCCTTGACCAGCTTCTCACTTGGGTGTCTGGGTGGAGCAGCTAGCTCTGCCCCACTTCTTCTTAGGGCACTCAGGGCACAGGGAAATCAGTTATCTGTTACTTCAAGTATGTTAGACTTTCCTTTTTAAAATTTAATATCCACAGATTTCCAAAGAAGCCTAGGTTTAGCTCCTAAATGTATCCTTTCCCAGATGTGTAGTCTTAGACACATAATCCAACCTCTCTGAGCCTGGTTTACTCAGCATTGAAATAAGCCCACTTGGCAGGATGTTATATAATACCAATGGAAGTTGGGAACTGTCTAATTGGGGCTTGGTCATGGCCTCACTTACATTTGGTTCTAAGCTTCCTGAGAAAACCCAGTGACAGGTGTTGCTGAACTGCAAGAAAGTGCTGTCCAGTCCAACTTGGGATGGACACACACTTGGGAAAGGACAGAAGGAGAGAAATGAGGTCAGAAAATCAGAACATTGGAGGTGATCACACTTCCATGGCACCTCTCTTCCTTGGCAAGGAAACTGAGGCCCAGAGGGGAAACAGTAGATGGGGACAAAGCCAGGGCCCTTGGCTCTTTGGGTTTTGTTACTCAAGCATCTGTTTTGGGCCACTGCTCCTAGAAATACTCAGCACTGGGACCTAGGTTCATTTTGAGACAGAGGGAGATTAAAAATAAAACGCATGCCGGGTGTGCCTTTCTGCTCGTTCACTTTGCTTTTCAGCTAAAAGGAGAGTGGTGGGCCTGGCTATTTATAACTAACCCAGATCCAAAACAGCTTGCTCAAGTGGGGGTGAGGCACATAGACCCCAAGGAAACCAACCAGAAAAACCCACCTGAGAGTCACAGTGAGGATTGGGAGGCTAGCACAGGTGGGGAACAGAGAACAGCCAGCCAGGGAAGTAGGAAGGCTAGTGGGAGAGTCATTTGGGGACAGGTCATTAGGCAACAGGTTGTCACATCTGTAGACGAGGAATTCCAGGATCCTGTGGATTCTGGAAGTACAGAAAGGTAGACCCAGGGAAGCTAGACCTTACAGAGGTGCAGCAGAGTCCAGATGGGCAGAAACAGAAAGCCTGCAAACTGCCATACTGGGTGGGCCAGTATGGGCTTAATAGTTAATGAGCTAGAAAGTTCTACTGGGATTGAGGGGTCATGGATGCTCATGGCATGGAGCCACCTGCAATTAAAGTTTGGTCAGTTTCCTGGGGCAGGGGTTGATACTATTTTGCCCAGCTATCCATGCTGTCAGGGAGGTGCTGGGTGGGCTCAGTCACAAGGCCCCTTTCTCCTTGCCAACACAAAGTTCCAGCTGCACCCTGCCCCTGGGCCAGCACAGCACCTGCTGATAACTACTCCAATGCTGACACTGACACACTCAGTTTCCCCATGATCCCATGGCTGCAGCAGGCACTTTGCTGAACTAGGCCTCACAAAAACTGACTTCTTTGCTTTTTCTTATTTTCTCGACTAATTAATATTTTTGCTATATGATTATGCCCAGAAGCACAACTCGCATGGTCTGTGGGACCATGCCCAAGGCAAATAAATATGAAACAAAAACTTGCCATTAAAAAGTCTAATTTAACAATTCTCCAATGGTTCTTAGACCAACATCCCCAATTTTACTTGAAGGTAGCTGACCAGATGTGGCTATCTGGGGCATCCTTTCATGCTCACTGGCTTGGCCAGGTTGGTCTTCCATGAATTCTCTCCAAATCTCATGCTCCTTCCTGCCCAGTGTTCTCCCCACCTTGGAACTCACTTCAATCCCCTATCACTGGCTACCTCTCCATTCCTGCTGCAGCCCCAGCTTAAGCATCTTTTCTTTCAGGAAGCTGACCCCATTGCTTCCGGGTTCCCCCTCCACATGCCCTCCAAACCCCAATGTCTCCACCCACCTGTCTATGCTGAGTCAGGTTACAGACTATAACTATAATGGCAAATTATTGTTCTGCTTTCTACCACTGCCCTGTAGCCACAAGAGTCCACCAGGAAAGAATCAGGTCTACATCCTAGAACTGTAACTAGAAATATGCCCCACATTGAGGAAACCTTCACTAAATGATTGTTAAATGAATGAAAATAAAAATTGACTGGACACCAGGGGAGCCATCCCTTTGTCTTTCAGGTGGGAAGGTCAGGTAGGCAACAGCCAGCCCTAGTGGTTCCCTCTAGGAGCTGGTCTCTGCTCTCATAGCTGGAATGTTGTAAGTGGTTATCCCACACTTGTATCTGGGTTTGGCCCTTGCAAAAAGCTTAACTCTGACCCCTGATTCTGCCACAGAAACTGCCTGGGCCCATTAAAAATGTACATTTCCTATGTTAAACTCTCAAAATTACCCTCTAGGAAGCATGGTAGGCATACATGCAGAGCAGCCCTTCAACTGTTAGTCAAATTCCTTTAGTCCTCACTGGTCACCTCCAGGGATCACTGTGCCACATCTAGTTGATCTCAACTGTGACCATAACTAGTCTTTAAAAGTTTAGGCAGCACCTTCACAGGAGGGCTGTGATCCCAGGATATGTAGTGCAGTGTTCTCCATTTCACAGAAAAAGAAACATTCCAAGGAGGTTATGGGATGATCTTAAAGCCAGCACATGCAGCTGCCAGAGCCATCTGACCACAGACTTGGGTTAGGGTTGCCTCACCATCAACCTTTGCTGGTAGTTCCACTGCTTCTCTGCTCAACAAATGGGGTGATCCAAGTAATTTTACCAAGAAAGTGAAAAAAGTGACGAGGAAGATGTTAGCTGAGACTGTTTCTACATTTTACTAGGGATGCTCTAAAATTCATGTGCTTCATGCTAGAAGAATAGAAAAGATAGAGCAGCATGTATATCTTAGCCCTCTGACCTGAGTCTTTTAAGCACTGAAATGAGGGGTTCGTGGCCCTGGGGTCCACAGATGGGTTCCCCCTGAAATTCAAAACAGAATTTTGCTATCTGTCCTCAGGCACATTTTGCTGAGGATCCATTACCTTCAGTGGGTTTCCCAAAGGTGCCCTCTCCTGCTTCTCTAGACTAAGGGTTATCTCCTAGGCCTTTCCTCTTCTCCCTTCTCCTCCCTTCCAATACAGCTTTCCATGAACCAGTATTGCCAGGAACCCAGAAGAGCCCCTAACATGCTGAGAAAGAGAGCAGCAGAGACAACTAATGCTCCCTCCTATGCTGTACAAACTTCATAGGTGTGAAACTTTAGGATTCGCATAAGTCTTTCAAACGTCTTACAGGACGATTGCCACAATCCAGGTGGGCAGGTGCCACTAGCCCTACTTTGCAAAATGAAAGTCTGCAGGGGTAAAGTTGGTTGCCCAAGGTCGCAGCTAATATGGGCCAGAGCTGGGTTCGAACCCAGGTTGGGAGGAGACGAGCGGAGGCCAGCCGCCGTATAAAGGGCAGAGGCCACCGCCGCTCTCGGGGTCGGCCTACCTGGCTGCAAAAATCAGTCTCGCTAAGTAGGCGCAGAGACTTGAGCACACCGCAGCTCTAGGACGCCCGCGCCAGCAGAGCGTGCAGGACTGCGGCGCGCGCGGAACGACGGCTCCGCCCCTATCTGGAACCATTGGACTATTGGAACGTCCGTCATTAGTCTGTGCCCAATGGGCGACGAGCCGGCGCTGTGGCGGGGCGGTGGCGCCGGGCTCCCGGTGCCCGGAGGGCGCGCGACAGCCCCCGCCCGCGGTTGGCCCGGCAACGCGCTGCGCTCGCGGCTCCGCCCCCTGCCGACGGCGGCGCGGGGCGGGAGGACCCGCGGGCGGACGGGCGGCGGGCGGCGCGGGAGGCTGGCGGAGGGAGCCAGGCCGGCCTGAGCGTGTGCGCCGCCCGCGGTCCGGTCACGTCCCCGCGCGAGCGCCGCCACCCGCGTCTTGCGGAACGAGGGCGCCGTGGCTCCCGCTTGCTGCCCCGCCCCGCCCCACCCGAAGCAGCTCATCAGATGCACCGTGCGGCGGCCAGGAGGTGAGTGAGCGCACCCGCGACCCCGATGAGCGAGGTTGAGATCCAGGGGTCGGGGGCGCAGCCGGGGTGTTCATCCCATCCCCACCTGGGGCCCCTTCTGGACCTTTGTGCTTAGGGACATTCCTGGTTGGGGGTCGCCTTGGCAGGGATGACTGGCCTAGGTGGGAGGCGGCCGCCGGCCGAGCAGGTGCCAAGGAAGGGAGGCGCGCCGGGCCGAGGAACCCGCGGGAGATGGTAGCTGCGGGCCTGCAGGGTTGGGCAGGGGGCGCCGGGGATGCCGCGCCGGACCAGCCGAGCGCCCTGGGCGGCTACCAGTGCGGAACTCGGCCGGGAGACCTGCGGGAGCTACGCTGAGGTGGGATCTCCCTCTAGGGATACTGAAAGGAGACGACCCCAGTTGGCCTGAGCGCCGGCGCGTGGCCTTCACCGGAAAGGAAGATAGGGCCCCAGAGGCCTGGGCCCGGGGACAGAAGGCTCGCAGTTTTTGGTCATTACTCTTGCAGTGAGCAGGTTCCTTGGAGGCAAGAGATGAGTATCGACCAGCTGCAATTGTAATATGTTCCCGGCTCAATATTTTTTTCCCTTAAAAGGCGGCGGGGGTGCTTGCGGGAGGGGTGTGAGGGCCTCGGGACTGGGGCTCAGTATCTTGCAGTCCATATGAAAGGGGCTCTGTCTTTAGGGCGGTGCTGAGCCGGTCTGGGTGACGATGGCAGGAATCCGCCTAGGCCGAGAATTGAGGCTCCTGTTAATCAAGAGAAGAGGATAGGAAGGCGGTGCCACAGTTCCCTGGAGTCTGAATCTGAACGTGGAGGGACCTTCCTGGTAGCCAAGGTCTGCCTAGTTTGGGGAAGCGGCTGAGTCCCTGACCTGCTCCTTTCTGCCCAAATGATTTCCCTGCCCTGGGGATTTGGTCCTGCTGCCCTCATTCCTGTCTGGAGGAAGCTCCTTGGCCAAATTCAATTAAGCAAATATTTACTGAGCTCTTGCTCCCTCAGGGCCTGGTGCTGGTGTGGACAGGGTGGGAGTGGACTAGGCCTACCCTTCCAGGACTGACTCACATCCCCACAGTGAACTATACAAAGATAACCCAGCTCCCAGTGTGGGTCCAGGGATCTCAGGAGGAGACTCAGAGAGCACAGGCTCAGGTCAGACCTGCCTGTGGGCAATGTGACATTTGAACTGGAGCTTGAAGGACATGGGTACAGTTGGAGTGGACATGGGTACAGTGCAGGGATAGGGGAGAATGGATGGAGGCCCAGAGAGTTATTTAGGCAATTGATTCTGGTGAGAGCATGAGGGTGCTTAGGAAGGAGTCAGGTTTGGCAAGAAAGGTGGATGGGGGCTTCAAGGGACTGAGGGAGCTGCTGAAGTGGCCTGACCCCATCCTTGTTAGCTGTGGTAGCCTCCTTGTTTATAAAAGGAGAACAATTCTGTGACCTCTTGAGCTGGAGTGGGGTTGGGAAGGAAATTTAAAGACTAGAGAGGGCTCCTTGCAGTCTTGGCACCTTGCCTCTGGGTAGGGCCAAAGCACTGGGTAACCAGTTCACTCAGCCCCCTTCTTAGCCAGGATGGAGCCACCTGCTTTGGGGATAAAGCTTAGCTGGTTACTGCCTTCAGGCCATGGATGATTGAGAGCAGTGACTATGGTAGTTCAGGAGTGTCCATTGGGAGTGGAGAGGGACAGGTCATGGTTGGATGAAGTGGTGTGCCTTCAATATGCCTCTTCCTATAGAGATGAAGAGGTGCTTGCGTTTGATTTGAAACTCTTCCTGTGTGTTCCTGTAACAGACATTGATTTTTTGAGACAGGAGGTGAATAAGACTAGTTCCTCCCCCTCAGAAGACCAATGTTACTTTCTGCCCTAGATCTTATCTTGGTAGTGTGCCCATCCCCAAATGTGAGTGTATACATACACACACACTCTCTCTTAACTTTGGCTGAGGCCTGGGTTGCTGCAGAGAGAACAGGGCCTGCCTGCCCTCATGGGGTATGTGGTCTGGGCTGAACGGGACGAAGCCGCTTTGTTCTGTGCCTATCACCTGGCCCATTCCAGGGGCTTGCCATGGGCCTCTGGGTTTGGAACACAGGGAATGGATTCCTCCTCTCTGTCCCAAGCCTCTTGAACTTGGTTTTCAAGGAGGAAAAGTGCCTTTGCCTGGACCTCAGGAACATCTACTGTGATTCCAGAGACATCTGGTTGTCTGGATTAACTTGGTTGCCTTGGTTGCCTGTATAGAGGGCCTTTTCAAAGAAGGAATGCTGAATGCTGGGGTAGGCTGGGTGAAAGTGTGGCCTCAGGCTAGCTACTTAATTGATGTGTGAATTTGGATGACAGTGTGTGCTCCTTCCTTCCCTAAAGGCAACAATAGGGCCAGCCATGTACTAGCCCACACTAACCTCAGGAGCCTAAGATACTGTATGGCTATAGAGGCATGCTTGTTACTGCTGCTGACCACAGCTGGCTTACAGGAACTCTGCAAGAGGCAGATTAGCTCACTGCTCCCCTGAAGACCCCAGGAATAAAACTTGGGATAACTAGGTCTCTAGGGAAACCTTTGGACAGAGGCATCAGAACAGACACCAAGGATTGGCCCTATGCAGAACCCCTGAGCAGAGGCCATGCTACAGCTTGTGCATACTTGGAAGGGGCCCAGGAGTACCCAGACTTATGCCTCTGAGTTTGGAGGCAAGAACTCCAGTGTAAGCATCAGAAGATATGAGATCAGGCCCTGGTCCAGGCCTGTCCTCTCTCAGCTTTTTTGTCCTCATCTATAAACAGAGCCAAGAGTGCTCTGCTAGATCCCCTCCCACACATTTGGCCCCTTGCACATGTCCACACTGACAGGGGAGGAAGTTTCATGGGAGTGAGCTGTCAGGAACCTCTGATGCTCCTGGAGGAGACCACAGCCCTCCTTACAGGGCCCAAGGAATGGAACCTTACATGTGGCCTTCATCCATTTATTGAGCTAATATGCACCAGCATCTGCCATGATCCAGGTACTGTGCCAGGCACAGGGGTACAGTAGAAATGTAGCATCCACTCCCAGTGCTCGCTTCCAATGGGCAGAAGCTGACACTAACACATGTAACTGTGTTGTGCAGGTAAATAAGTGCCATGCCATGCCAAACACTGAAGCAGAAGGAAGGGGGGCATCTCTCTGGAGTAGGGCTTGCTGCAGTGCAACAGAAAAGTTATGGGCAAGTTATGAGGTGGCCAAAGGAGAACACCTAGGAGCCTAGGAGAGGGGCAACAGAGGCTTGGGTGGAGTCTTGAGGCTAGTCAAGCAGAGCTCCACATGTGCCAGTAAGGTGGAAAGACCTAGACAAGTTTAGAGCAGAGGGAAGACACAAACTAATTTAGGCTTTTATAAGGTCTATGCTGGAGCTGGGTTAGAGCACTTGCCTACCATGTATGAAGTACTGGGTTTGATCTCCAGTGAAAGAAGAAAAAAAAAAAAAAAAGATCTCTGCTAATGTAGGAGTATAAACTGGGCTGGGGCTAAGACCTGGAAGCCTTTCAGAACTGTGTAACATTCCAGTGAGGTAGGTGCAATAGAGGTGATGAAAGGTAGCTGCATGGGAGATTTATTTTCAAGAGTGGCAGGTCAGACTGCTAGTGGAGAAAATGCAAGCCCAGCAGGTTTTTCATCTGAGCCACTGAAAGGACAGAGCTGGCACTAACTGAAGAAGACTTGGCAAAAGTCTTCTTCATGAGAGGCAGGGAATCTGGAGATAGACTTGAGACCTTAATAAACATCAGCACAAGTGGTGGTCAGAGGGAAAAGCAAAGTTGGAGGTAGCAACTTGGGGTCTTTGGCATCAAGGTGTGTGGGAAGCCTAGAACCAGCTGAGGTCCCTTGGGGGCATAAGGGGTCCAGAAAGGGCCAGCATGGAGGTTGAAGATTGTTTAGCCAATGAGAATAGGAGCACAGTCATGACAGCCCCTCAGGAGGTTGGAGAAGGAGGCAACCAGCTTGGCAGGTCTCCCGGGTCAAAAACTGCCATTGGGAGGGGGTGCCTGGAAATTAGTGACATGCGCAGCTCTGGCTGCACAATTTATAGGGTCCTTGTTAAGAAATTATTAAGCATCTCAAGGCGATGACAACAGAGAATTACTTCTGGCACTGGGCCCTGTGTTATTCCCTAGGTGCATGCCCATGAGATTGACCTGATTGTGGAGACTATGAAAACAATTCTGGGGCTGTGATGGGCAGAGAAGGAAAGCCTGTTATATGGGCCTGTGGTATGCCCACTGCCCTTCCTCCTTTCTCTTGAATGGACAGGTAGGCTTCTGGAGTTGGTCAGACCCAGACCTGGCCCCTGGCCTGAGGAGCCCAAAATTACACATTAAGTGAAAAATTGAAAAATTGCCTGCTCTGAGTTGTCATGTCTTTCCCCTCTCTCTGTGGACCACCAGTAGCCAGCAGCTTCTTGGGTAGAAGGTAGCAGGAGGCAAGTCCAGCCTCAGCAGGCCCTGGGCAAGCATGGCCGACAGCTTCACACAATGGCTTCCTTAAATTCCTCTCTTCCACAGGAGCCTGCTACATCACGGAGTTTTGAGTTATTTGCTTCTAAATTAAGGTATAACTCTCTTTTAGAGACGTCCCTGGAGAATCCATCAAAAAGTGCTAAGAAGCGAGACTGTTAAAAGCCACAGTGCTGGGAGGGGCCTTACAAATAGTGTCAAGACTGGTATTCCTTCTAGCAGCCTCAAACCAGAAACAGACCCTGTCCAAGGGCTGTGGTGGACTGTGGTCAGAGCATATCTTTCAGAAGAATACCCCTGCACTATCAAGTGGCCCTTTCCTGCCCCTGGGATGGGGAACCACCAGGACAGGATTCCTAGGTGAGGTCTGGTCTGAGCTTTGATCCCCCTCAGCAAGGCTGCCCCTGTCAGTTGTGAAGGCCAGACTTTGTCAGAGTGTTGGGGTTGGGGAGTAGGGACTAATGTGCATATTTTCCCCAGAGCCCAGATACAATTATTAGCAAGGAGAGTATAT